GCCTCTCCGTTACCGACACCCCTTCCAAGGTCGTGAAAACTGTCGTCCGCGGGGCCATGGAGCTCCATGTTGTGGTTTCCAAGGCTTTCGGGTGCAGCTTCGCCCTCGACAAGACGGCCGTGGTGGCCTCTAGCAAGGCGATTGGCGAAGAAGTGGCCTCCCGGCTCAGCTGTTTAGGAGGGCGGTTCACCAGCAGTGCCGTCAATTTAGGTGTGGATTACACCGCAGGCCGAGCTGTTCGATTCGGCGGGCGCTGCGCCCAGCTTAAGCGCAGACTGGCCAAAGCCTCCAGGGCCTCCAGGAGGCTCAAGCGTCAGAACAAGGTCTTGTCCCGTTCCCAGGCGCTCAAAGTTTTCTCGGCTGGGCCTCTTGCTGGGGCCTCATACGGTTCAGAGGTCACCGGCATTAGTGATTGGGACTTTTTGTTGTTGCGCAGGCGAGTGTTTTCTGTCGTGAGGCCGACCTCGCAACTTCGTTCGCTGACGACTGCGGCGTTGCTCGATTTCGATCCGTGCTGGCGCACGGCCACTGCTCCCATTGTCCGTTGGTCTAAGGAAATCTGGTTATGCCAGACAGGTGCGTTCTGGTGGGCCCTTCCGCTCACTACCCTCCGCCAGGCTTGGCAATCGGTGTTCGCCGATCAGACCTGCTCCTGGAGGAGAGTTGCTGGGCCAGTGTCCGCGCTTCGCATGAGCTTGGTGCGGCTTGGGTGGCAGATGGATAATTTTATGCCCATGCGAGATGACCGTGGATTCCTTATCCCTCTTGGGATTTTTTCCCCGGCGCTGGTGAAACTCTTGGTTCGGGACGGGTATTTCAGAATGCTCGAGCGCGATTCTGGCGAAAAGCGTGGCATCCTCCCCCGCATTTGCAATGACATTGTTCGTGAAGCGTTGAATAGTAAGAAATACTCGGCCTTACAGAAGGCTCGCATCAGGGCTTTCGCCACGGAGGCTTTCTTTACGGGATCTGGAGCGCGATGTAAAGGATATTTGGTCGATGGGTTTTGCCCGTTTTGTGGAGCTCTCGATATCATCTTCCACCGGCTTTGGGAATGCACCCACGAGCCAATCGTGGCGCTTCGATCGGAGCTCGTTGATGATAGCACGGTGGCTGCTGCTTTGACAGCTAAGGAGTCCGATGACAGCAACGACGTGTTCCTGTTTACTTCTGGGGCTTTTCGCCATCCCGCCGACTCCTACCCTCGGCCCCTTACCGAGTCGGATGATGGCCCCCACCTTGTGTGGCACCGACAGGATAGATTGCACCCTCGGGGACATGGTCCTGGGACTGAGATGTGAGGTTCTCTTTTTGTGGATGGCAGTTGCACGAAACATCCAGTCCGGGAGCTCTCCCGAGCCGCCAGCAGTATTGTGATGGTTGACGATGCTGGAAATGCCGTCGCCGAGTTTCGTGCTCCCGTCTGGGCTCCCTATCCTCAGACTCCCCGGTCGGCCGAATTCAGCTGCCTGACGTGGGCCACGGTGCTCAGCTCGGCCGCTTTCTCTGTTTTCTCCGATTCCAGTAACGTTGTCAAACAAGCTTGTCGCCCAAAGGTTGTACAGCTTTCGGGCAAACTAGTGTATTCAGGGGCGTTCTTGCAGATATATGCTCAGGGCAGGGCTCCACCGGCCGATTGCGTCAAGGTCGCCGCTCACCGTGACATCGATGAGGCCGGAATCGACGACACGGAGCGTTGGCGGAGGCTTGGCAATCACCATGCGGATTTGTCGGCGAAGCACGCCACAAGTATACACCCGCGAGACGAGTCTCGGCTGGCGGTCATTGACAAGCAGGTGAAGTATGCTCGCGAGACGATTCGTCTTGCCGCGAATGTGCTCCATCTATGGCCCGACGTGGACCTGTCGACGGCGGAGAGGGTGAAGTACACTCCTGCCGCGACAGCTGCTTCGGGCCACCGTTGGGAACGATGGGGGAGTATCTGGAGGTGCGCCGTGTGTTTACGCGGGAGCCGTGCCGAGCAGCCACCTCCAGGTACTTGCCCCCGGACTCCTCGCTGCACGCTTCGAGACAAAATGCTTTGGAGCACCGCACAATTGCGTTCGATTGCAGCGACGGTTCGGTTCTATTCATCTGCGCGCGTTGCAAATGTCACAGCAGCAGCGGACAGATCCGAGGCCTGGCCCAAAAGTGCCAGCCTCCGCCGTCTCGTGCTGCCAAGTACGGGCGGAATGCTCTCTCCAAGGGACAGCATCCGAATTTCAGGCAGCAGCAAGCAGGGGTGAGGGTCAATACTGACAACCTCATGCCATGTTTCAGTATTTCTTCCTCCCCCTCCTCCGTCCCCCTCCTTCCACCAGTCGGTCTCTCTGAAGCTCAGCAGCTTTCGAGTGTTGTGTCCAGCTTCCGCATGGAGGAAGATTCGCAACCTTGGATTCCGGCTGCTGGTCAAAGATGTATTGCTGACGACTCGGACTGACCTATTCCTTTGAAGGCACTGGCACCTCCCTCCGTTGCTAGTGTGGCCGCCTGTTAGTCATGCTCTGGAGGCGCTGAGCGTGGAGCTCAACAAACAAATCCTCCTCCTCCTCCTCCTCCTCTTCCTCCTCCTCCTCCTCCTCCTCTCCTCCTCCTCCCTCCTCCCTCCTCCCTCCCCCCCGCTCCCCCCCCTCCCTCCTCCCTCCCTCCCTCCCCCTCCCTCCCTCCCTCCCTCCCCCCCATGTCCCTTCCTCTCCCCTCCATCTTTCCCTCCATCCTTCGTCCCTCCATCCTCCCTCCTCCCTCCCCCCTCCCTCCTCCTCGTCCTCCTCCTCCTCCTCCTCCTCCTCCTCGTCCTCCTCGGCAAGGGCCGCCCGAAGGGGCCCGCGCCCACGTCCTCCTCTGGAGGAGGGGGGCGTGGCGTTGCTCGACGTGCGGGCGAAAGGCCTTCTCTAGCAAGACCAGGCGCGCGTTGGCGCGCAGGCCCTGCCATGGCAAGATGAGGGTGGATCGTCGGTGGGGTGTTGGGTTGGGGCGGGGGGATGGGGAAGGCGTCATCTCTCCCGCCCTCCGCGGTGCGGCCTTGGGGCACGAATTGCACCGCGTGGGCCAGTATACATTCTGCGATCAGTGCGGTGTGTTCTCGAGCGAGAGGGGGTGCAAGCTCTTGGCTGCCTGCGTGGGGGGCCCTGCGAACCCCACCGCAGAGTACCGCCTCTCGCTCCTGCGCCGAGGCAAAAATCCTTATGCAGTGAAGGTCTCCCTGGAGGCAGAGCCGCGCTCCCTGGTACAGGAGGAGTGCGCAGCGTTCTGGGAGCGCCTCATGGACTGATCTGGAAGGGGCGGGATGGCACCCCGAGGTGGAGTGCCCGCCCATCCGTCTCACATGTGGCGAGCTGGGGCGGGGACCGCCAGGCATCGTTCTTGCAGCAAAAAAACCTCGTCCTCCTCGTCCTTCTCCTCCTCCTCCTCCTCCTCCTCCTCTTCCTCCTCCTCCTCTTCGTCCTTCTCCTCGTGCTCCTCCTCCTCCTCCTCCTCCTCCTCCTCCTCCTCCTCCTGGTCCTCCTCCTCCTCCTCCTCCACCTCCTCCTTTTCTCCTCCTCCTCCTCCTTGTCCTCCTCCTTCTCCTCCTCTCCTCCTTCTCCTCCTCCATTTCGTCCTCCTCCTCCTCCTCCTCCTCCTCCTCCTCCTCCTCCCCTCGTCCTCCTCCTCCTCCTCCTCTCCTCCTCCTCCTCCTCCTCCTCCTCCTCCTCCTCCTCCTCCTCCTCCGGGCCGTTTCGGCGCGAGCAGGCGCCCCCGCGCGCCGCGCCGCCGCGCTGTTCGGGCGCGGGCGAGTTGGGCGGCTGCCTTCCCTGGCTGGTGCTCGCGCTTTTCGACGCACATTTCGGAGCGGCGCAGCGTCGAGGGGCCTAGCAGCTGGCGCATGACATAGGACAAAAAGGGCGCTGGTTGGGCGGCCTCGGCAACAGCAGAGCTGGCGCCGTGGAGGCAGGCCTACGCCCCCCAGATGCAGCGCGTGGCGGAGATTGTGCATGCGGCGGCGGGCACAGCGGTGACAGAAGCAGCGATGGCGGCCCTAGGCGCGCGGACTGTGCGGTCGCCGCCTGCGGGGGCCCGTCGGGCGGTGAGGGCGGTGAGGGCGGCTAGTCCGTCGAAGAGGAGGCCGACCCCAAGGCCCAGCCAGGCGCCGTCGCACTTGGCTATCGAAGGCGGCTCGGTAGGGGGCGAGGAGGTCGAATCGCGCATCGAGCCACCGCCTGGCCAGTGGGGCGCGCCGCGGCCCCCGCCGAGGTCGAGGGTGCGGAGCCGCGCGCCCCCTCCCGAGCCAGCGGGCAGCCGCGCCGCGAGGGCAGCCTGCCGAGCGCTGGAGGAGAGGGCCTACCTGCTGAAGGCCGGGAGGGAGACGCTGCAGGCGGACCACTGCCAGCTCGAGCGGGAGACGGTGCAACTGGCGCTGGAGAGGGCGATGCTGGCGCCGCAGCCGCAGCGCGCATCCAAGGAGGCCTCCGAGCGCGCGCTGGCGGAGCAGGTCCGCGAGCAGAAGAGGGCGCCCCAGGTGGACGCGGTGAAGGAGGAGCCCTCTGCTTCACCAGCCCGGGCCCCCTGGTAGCGGCTGGAGGAGCGACAGGAGGGCACGACCAAGGCGGAGAAGAAGGGCAAGAAGGAGAAACGTAAGAAACATGAGAAGAAAGACTGAAAGAAACCCAGCGCGGCTGAGTCGCCGCCGGAGGAGCGGCCAGGAGCCGGGCCAAGGGGGCGAGCGAGTCGACCCCGAGGCAGCGCAAGGGCTGGGGCTCCCACGGGAAGAGGCGTCATCGCAGCCGCAGTCGCCGCCGAGCGAGGACGGCACGACCCGCGGCCTGACGCGGGTGCAGTTGAGCGACCTGTCGGTGGAGAACGACGGGTCGGAAGACCAGGGCGAACTCCTCCGTTGGTGCCTGGAGCTGGGCTCTGGCGTGGCCCCTGTGCGCGGCGCTGGGGGCGATGGGGCCGAGCAGCCGCGGCGCGGCGCTGTGGATCCGCCCTCGGTGCTGGCGCACCCGACCATCGGTGGTGGCAAGGTGGAGGGCGATGGCACGTTGCAGTCCAGCTATCAGTACGAGTGTGAGGTCAAGGAGAAGCAGGAGAAGCAGGCGGTACCTCAAGACGCGCTGGTGCGCGCAGGTGGCGTCGGGCACGAGTTCAAGGAGAAGCAGGCGGCACTTCAAGACGCGCTGGTGCACGCAGGTGGCGCCAGGGATAAGAAGGATATGGCCGCGGTCATCGAGGCCAACCAGTCTGCGCACGCTCGCGGGCGTGCGGCGCAGGAGGCGAGGATGGCGGAGTGGCGGCTTGGCCATGACGGGCTCGTGCCGCTGAGGACCGGCAAGGGCGGCAAGATCAATAAGGTCTAGTCAGTGCCTCCAGATCTGGTGCATGCTGGAGGTGTCAAGGCGAAAGCGAAGCAGGGCAATTTCATGGAGGAGCAGGCGGTACCTCTTGTGCTGGTGCACGCAGGCGGAGGGTTGGAGTTTTGCCGCCCTCCGCCTCGGCGGGAAGCGGAGCAGAACACCCGCGACGACGTGGGCCTCTCGGGCGACATGAGACGGTTGGAGCAGCAGTCCGTGGGCGTCAAGGAGTCGGAAGGCGAGGAGCTGGAGGCTACCCGCGGTGCCTGCGGTGCGGGCTCCTCAGGGGATCGCGTCGATTTGGAGGAGATCGAGTCCATGAAGGAATCCCTGAAGGTACAGATGCTGAACACAAAGCTCACGAAGCTGGGCCTCGACAGCGTCGACAGCTCGGAGCACGAGGTGGCTGCCCTCCGCGCGGTGCTCAGGGGCCTCTCGCCCGGCCCGAGCAGCTGGGCGGGGTCCTGGAAGCGCTGCGCGGCGAGCTCGGGGGGGGGGGCTGATTGCCTGGGAGAGGCTCTTCGAGGAGGCCAGCCTGGAAGCGCCATCCCATCCCTCCTGCTCGTCTTGGCCCCGCGGGGGCCAAGTCGTGGGGAGGGACGGCGCGGTGGCGCGTCTGGTGGCGTGGCGCCCCAGGCTAGGCTTCCCTTTCGCTGGGCGCGAGGGACCTCGGTCCATTGCCTGTTCCCTGTTCCTCCTCCGCCTGCGCCTCCCGCCTCCCGCCTTCCTCCGCCTCCTCCTTGTCCTCCTCCTCCTCCTCCTCCTCCTCTTTCTCCTCCTCCCCCTCCTCCTCTTCCTCCGCCTCATCATCATCATCATCATCATCATCATCATCATCATCATCATCGTCATCGTCATCACCATCATCATCATCACCATCATCATCAGCATCATCATCATCGTCAGCGCCAACAACGTCGTCATAATCATCATCTTCAGCATCATCATCACCAGCATCGTTACCAACGTCAATATCAGCCGCCGCTTCATATTAGTAATATTACTAGTAGTATTATTATCACCATTACTAGTAGTAGCATGTTATACTACTGTTATTGTTATGAAATAGTATTATTAGTTTTAGTATTGCCCTTATGATTATGAATATTATGATTATTATTATTCGTATTCGTGTTTTTATTATTATTGTTTTTTGTATTTTTAGTATTAGTATGTTTTATTAATTATTTTTAGTAGTATTACTCGTATTGTTATTATTCGTAGTAGTAGTAGTCGTAGTAGTAGTAGTAGTAGTAGTAGTAGTAGTAGTAGTAGTAGTAGTAGTAGTAGGAGTAGGAGTAGGAGTAGGAGTAGGAGTAGGAGTAGCGGTGGTGGTCGTACCAACATTATTAGTAGTACGTGCATGTTATTGTTATTGTCCGTATTCCTCTTCATCCTCATCATCATCATCATCATCATCAGCAGCAGCAGCAGCATCATCTTCATCAGCATCATCATCATCAGCAGCATCGTCGTCATCGTCATCATCAGCATCATTCCGCCTCCTCCTCCTCCTGCCTCCTCCAGCCGTTTCCTCCTATTCCTCCTCCTCCTTCTCCTCCTCCTCCTCCCGCCTTTTCCTCCTCCTCCTCCTCCTCCAGTTCCTCCTCCTCCTTCTCCTCCTCCTCCTTCTCCTCCTCCTCCTTCTCCTCCTCCTCCTCCTCCTCCTACACCCCGTCCTGTTCCTCCACCTCCTCCTCCTCCTCCTCCTGCTCTTCGTCCTCGTCCTCCACCTCTAACTCGTCCTACTCGTCCTCGTCCTCCTCCTCCTCCTCTTCCTCCTCCTCCCCTTCCTTCTCCTGCTCCTGCTCCTCCTCCTCCTCCTCCTCCTTCTGCTCCTCCTCTTCCCCCTCCTTGTCCTCCTCCTCCGCCTCCTCTTCCTTCTACTCCTCCTCCTCATCATCCTCCTCTTCCTCCTTCTCCCCCTCCTCCTCCTTCTTCCCCCGCCTCATCCTCCTCCTCTTCCCCTTCTTGCTGCTTCCTCCTCCTCCTCTCCCCTTTTGCTCTCCTCCCCCTCCTCCTTCTCCTCATTTTTCTCCTCTTCCTCCTCCTCCTCCTCCACCTCCTCCTTCTCCTCCTCCTCCTCCTCCTCCTCCTCTGGCCTCCTCCTCCTCCGCTTCCTCCTTCCCGACTCCGAATCGCCCATTGATCGCCGGTAGGGTCCTGATAGTCCCGACCCGCCCTGGAAGGTGTGGATTTGCAATCGGTGGGTCATCGCCGATCTATCGGCGGTGATGTATCGCCGATCCCAGGTCGATGCATCCCCCCCAATGCCAGTCCCCCCCCCGATCGTTGCCCCTCAGGGAATGGTCTGTCAATGTTCTACTTGGCGCTACGTGGCCCGCGGCGTTTTTTGTCCCAGATCTCCGGCGACGACGACGACGACGACGACGACGACGACGACGGCGACGACGACGACGACGGCGACGACGACGACGACGATATTCCTCTTCTCGATCGGCGGAGCGTCTTTGGGTGGTCCTCGCTGCGCTCCATGCGGAGATCATCTCCAGGAAGAAGACTGAAGACTGCGAGGAGCAGTAGCGGCACGTGAACTCATTAGTCCCTAATCGCATCTTGCCATGTTGATATTCTGTCTTCAGCCTCCGCCGCTAGAGAGAACGGCCGTCATCTATCCCATTTTCTCTCTCTCTCTCTCTTCTCTCTCTCTCTGTTGCTCTCTCTTTCTCTTTCTTTCTTTGTTACTCTCTCTCTCTCTCTCTCTCCTATGTGAGAGAGAGAGAAAGAAGAAAGACTCGCGCGAAAGAGAGTCTCTTTCGTGCGAGTCTCCCGGTCTGGCCGCCCCAAGAGGCCTCAGCCGCCATCGAGGAGAGTTCCCAGCATCCCGAGTCCGGCACCACTGGCTGCCACGAGGACTTTGGCGACCTTCTCGTGTGGAAGCCGTCAGAGTGTCCGTGTCCATGCTTGTGTCCATTCTGGCTTCTATATCGAAGACGCGTGCGGCGAACCACCACCGCCCTCTGCCCTTTGGAAGCTCCAATGTGGCCGAATGTTTGGCCAAAGATTGGCCCAGCTATTAGACTAGCCGGCCGCTCTGCGGTTGATCGGGGTTTTTGTGTGTATATATGTAAATATATCCGAATGATACTCATAATAAGGATAAGAAGAACAAGACGAAGAAGAGGAATAACAATAATAAGAAAACTAATAATAATAATAATAAGAAGAAGAAGAAGAAGAAGGGGCGTGCGCCTGTGCTCGACGACGATGGTGAGAAAGAGCGGGCGGCGGTGGCGCGGCGGGTGAGGATCAGGAGGGTGAGGATCAGTAGCGTGAGGCTCACGAGCTGGAGGTCCCTGGAGGTCATTCGTCCTCCTCCTCCTCCTCCTCCTCCTCCTCCTCCTCCTCCTCCACATTCTCGCTCTCTCCTCCTCCTCCTCCTTTCCTCTCGCCTCCTTTCTCATCCGTCCTCCTGCGTTTTCCTCCCTGCTCATCGTTCTCCTCCTCGTGCTCGCCCTCGTGCTAGTCCTCGTTATCGTCCTCGCCTGGTGCGCCCGGCGCGCCTGGCGCGCCCGGCGCATCGCCGGAAATGGTCCCTGGTGGTGCGCTGAGCTAGGGCTCGTGGGGTAGTTTTGCGAGGATGCCTCGAGCGAGGGCGCCGGATCGGGACACGCCCGGTGCACTCGGCGCGCCTGGCGCATCGCTGGAAATGGTTCCTGGGGGCTCGTTGGGGGCCCGTGGAGGGATTTTGCGAAGATGTCTCGAGCGAGGGCGCCAGATGGGGACACGCCTGGTGCGCCCGGCGCACCGCTGGAGATGGTCCCTGCGTGGGGGTACCATAGGGGGCCGCGGGGCGATTTTGCGAGGATGTCTCGAGTGACGGCGCCGGATGGGGACACGCCGGGTGCGCCCGGCGCATCGTCGGAAATGAGATGTGCTGGGAGCCCGTGGGGCGATTTTGCGAGGATGTCTCGAGCGAGGGCGACGGATCAGGATACCTACGCCCGGTGCGCCAGGCGCATCGCCGGAAATGGTAATGGTCCCTGGGGGTGCGCTGGGAGGCGAAAGTCGACTTCCTCGCGCGCCGGAGGTCAGGATGACGTGAGTTCCACAGAAACTCCCTCAACGCATGTGCTCCCCCAGGTGTTGTGGAGACCCTTGGGGGAACGCTCCCGGGGAGGAACAGAGGAGGAGGAGGAGGAGGAGGAGGAGGAGGAGGAGGAGGAGGAGGAGGAGGAGGAGGAGGGAGGAGGAGGAGGAAGGATGGGAGGAGGAGGAGGAGGAGGAAGAGGAGGAGGAGCAGGAAGAGGAGGAGGAGGAGGAGGAGGAGGAGGAGGAGGAGGAGATCCGTAGCCATTTTGGCTCAAGCCCCACGCCTCCCTCGGGGATCTCGTGGGGTTTGGGCATCCGTGCCCGTCTGCTCGAGGTGCCTGCGCGGGGTCGGCCGCGCGCGCCTCGCACGCGGGACGGGGCTGCTGCCTGGCTCTCCGGCGCCGCCCTGCTGGTGGGCGCCGCCGTGCGGGCCGCCGTCGAGGCCAAGGCCTCGCACCGCTCCCCGGCCACTGTCGTGCGCGCGGCGGTCGCGGCTGCTGCCTCTGCAGCCGCTGCGCCGCCTGGCGCGCGGGGCGCTGAGCCTGGGGCTGCTGGTCGCGAGCCTGCGGCGCCGTCTGCCGCTGCGGCGGCCAGGGCGGCGCGTCGGCGAGGGCGCCGACGTCGACGTGCTGCTCGACGTGCTGCTGATGCGCCTGCTGCTGGTGCGGCGGTCGCCACGGCGGACGACGACGGCATGCGGACGGACGGCTCCATCGAGGACGAGTGAGCCGACGCCCCCGCCGCTGCCGCGCCTTTGGCGCTGCCCGCGGCTGGTGCGCGGGTGCCCGCAGGTGCCGCCGTGGCACGCTCCACTCGTGAGTCGCCTGGAGCAGGGCTCGGCGGCGAGGGGGAGGGTGCCATACTGCCCGCGGCGTGTGCGCCTGCGGCGGCTGCTGCTGCTGCTGCTGCTGGCGCGGAGGTGGAGAGCGCCAAGGACGTGGCCTCGGTCACGGCCGCGCTGATTTCGGCGTGGGTCAACACGCCTGGGGCCCGCGTTGCCGCTCTCCAGCCCCACTTCGCGGGCAGGCCCGTCGACCGCCTCCGCGCCTGGCTGGACCAGGCGGTGGAGGGGCTCGATGTCGGCACCCGGTCGGGGGGGGGGGAGGCAGCGGAAGTGTCGGCGGTGATGCTCATTCCCGTGGAGGGTGAGCGCCGCCAGCCCCTTCCCCCCCTCCCCGTACATGGAGTCCGCCTAAGGCGCCCTCCAGCGCATCGCCCTCTGAGGCGATCGAGCGGCGAGTTGCGCTGCTCGCGGTGGCGGAAAGGAGTCGCTTTCCGCTCGGGCTGAGTCGAGAAGGAAGAGGAGGAGGAGGAGGAGGAGGAGGAGGAGGAGGAGGAGGAGGAGGAGGAGGAGGAGTAGAGAGGATGAGGCGGCAGAGGCAGGAGGATCAGAGTGGTGAGAGGAGGAGGGAGGAGGCGGAGGAGGATGAGGAGGAGGATGAGGCGGAGGTTCACTACCCATCGAGGGGCGGCCTGACGGGGCGAGCGAGAGAATGCAGTTGGGGGGCGCCTATCCGACGAGAGCTCCTTCTTCCCTTTTTCGGGTGGCGTCAGTGCAATTTTTGCTCGTGCGACGTGCGCAAAGGAATGGGAATCAGTGGTATCAGATGTTGACATGTGTGCAGATGGGGAAGACTCGTACGCGTCCTCGAAAAAACGTCCAACAGCGACACCACCACAGGGCACGGAATGAGTTGGCCTGGGTAATGATGACATGCGACGTTCGAGCGATGCCGGCGCCCCGGCGCCACCGCCCAGTCCCGCGCAGGGCCGCCCCCCTTGGGACGACGTAGCCTCAGGCCGCGAGGGGCACCCCATCTCCGCGCCAGTCGTTGTCGCGCTCTTGCGACGGGGGCGCGCGCTCGTCGGACGTCGTCCTCGCGCGCCCGCGCTCCCCGAGCCGCTGCAAACGGGGCGTTCGGAAACGGGGCGGTATTAGCCGAGGGGCCCCTTCAAGCGAGAACGGGGCGACAGGGCATTTGCCCTGCACTGGTGCGCGAGACATCGGGACGACATCAGCCCCAGCCCCAGCCCCTGTGGGTGGCGAGCCCCGCTTGGGCTTGCCGACCAGGCGCCCCACCCCCCCCGAGCCCCGCCCCCTGAGCTCCCTCTGGGCGCCGGCGCGCGAGGGCGGGGCTCGGCCTGCATGGCGGCCCCCGGAAGCCCAGAGAGCCCCCCAAAAAACGCGTTCCTCCCGTGGGGGTGCACTGTTTGCTTTTCTTTTTTTTTTTGTGCGCGCGTTGCTCCCTCTTGTCGCTGGAAGTTGCGTGGTGGGCCTCGTGGGACAACTCCACTGCAACGGTCGCTTCGGCGCGACTTAACGTCTGGCCAAATCGGGACCCCAGGAGGCGCAGGTAGGCGGATGGGCCCCGACGCGTTTCCTTCCGCCGAGCTTCCTTTCGAACACTACGCCCGCAAGTCTCAGCAACAGGGCGTCTCGTGGTGGGCCTCGCTAAAAAGTCGACCGAAACCGGCGCGACGGAAGCACGTAAGATCCCGTCGGGGGGCCAAGAGGAAGCACGTACGGGGACTGCCGGGGACGGAAGAGGCGGACCAGCCCCCCGCCCTCCCCCCTAGGAGAGTGGGAGGGGCTACCTACGCATAAAAAGTTAAGACCTGCGGCAATGACCTAACTCGAACTCGTGCCCTCGCCTCGAATCGTCGGTCCGTGCGTGGAGCGACTCTGAGCAGGGCGAGCGGGCTGAAAGAAGTGAGAGAGTGGGAGATTAGGTTCTTGCATGATGGTCTGGACCCTGTCGGCGCTAGCGAGGGAGCCCACGGTGGAGCGGTCATAGTATTTACCAAGGTACCAGCACCACCCGACTATCAGCGTCCTACGCACGGCTCGCCTCAAGGCCCGTTTGCCACCCCTACGCCCTGTCTCCGTCGCCATGAGCAGCCAAACGAGCCACTGGGTGACGTTCACCTAGCTTGGGCCGGCTAGGAGCGCTCGCCTCGCCAACGCACAAAAACGTAAAATGCCATGGCGCGTCGGGTTGGGCTGGGAGTTGCGACCCAGCACGCAAAAGGCAGCACGCTGTGTCCTTGGGCCGTCGAGGCTTCCGCCGAGCTTCCGCCAGCTTCCGCCGGCGGAAGGCGGCCGAATGGCGGATTCCAGAAGCCCTGAGCCCAAAACCCGGACCGCCTCGCGTTGTGAAACGATCACGACGGAAGGTTAATTCGGCCTCCAAGGCCCTTACCGGGCGTCGGGATCGGCAACAAGAACGCTTCACGATAAAAATCTGGTCCTGGGGACTGGGTTCAGACACCTGAAAGAGCGTGTTCTACCGCTGCTGGCGGAAAACAACTGGGGGGGGTCACTACCGGTTCGAACCCCTCCCCCCCTCCCCTCCGGAAAACCGGGGGGGTGTCACTACCGGTTTGAACCCCTCCCCCACCCCCCCTCCCCCAGTTCATCATGAAAAGGGGGGGGGTCACTAACTACCGGTTCGACCCCCCCCCCCCTCGAGCTCGAAAACCGGGGGGGGTCACTACAGGTTCGAACCCCCCCCCCCCCCTCGAAAACCGAGTGGGGGTGCGGACAGTGGTGGGGACGGTGGTGGTGGGGACAGTGGTGAGGGGACAGCGGGACAATGGTGGGGACAGTGGGACAGTGGTGGGGACGGTAGTGGTGGGGTTAATGGTGAGGACAATGGCGGGGACAGTGGGGACAGTGGGACAGTGGTGGGGACGGTGGTGGTGGGGACAGTGGTGTGGGGACAGCCGGAGGGGACAGTGTGGAAAGTGGTGGAGGAACAGTAGGACAGTGGAGGGTACAGTGGTGGTGGGGACAGTGGTGAAGGCGGTGGCGAGGACGGCGGTGGGACAATGGGACAGAGGTACAGTGGGGACAGTGGTAGGGACAGGGGGACAGTGGTGGGAACAGTGGGACAGCTCAGTGGTTCGAACCTGGTAGTGACCCCCCCCTCCGGTTTTTGAGGGGGGGGGGGGTTCGAACCGGTAGTGACCCCCGCCCGGTTTTCGAGTTCGAGGGGGGGGGGGGGTTAGGGGAGGGGGGGGGTTTTGCCGGGGGAAGGGGGGGAAGGGGGGGAGGGTTCCAGCAGGGGGGAGGGGGGGGGGATTTGGAGGGGGGGGGGGGGAACCCCGGGTTCCAGAGGAAAAGGGCGGCAATTTTCCACAATAAAGCGGCGGTGGATCACGCTCTCTCAGACACCTGCTGGGGGGTCGCGTCATGAAAAAATCATGGCGTCGGGGGTCTGGGAAACGTGTTCATCTCTTTGGGGCGCATTTTTTACTTTCGCCATCTTCCGCCGAGCTTCCGCCGGCTCGTTTTACTTCCGCCGACCTTCCGCCGTCTTTCCGCCGATTTCCGCCGAGGAAAAGATGACAACTCCTTCGATCCTCGAAGGCGAGTCTCGGCGATTCCGAGGGCCGTTTCCGCGGCGGCTTCGTGCTGCGGCAGCGGCGGACCGGAGGCAAAACGAAGGGAAGCGACACCATGACGAACACGAGAAACATTGTTCAGGCCGAGTCCCGCGCGGGGACCCAGCCGCTGCCTTCCTGCCAGGCATCGCTGTCGCCGCCGATGGCCGGGGCACCAGCCTCCGTGGCCGCCTGCGCGCCCCGGAGCGCCCCCACGGCGCGCTGCGCGAGGGCCTCCCGTGAGCCATCCCACCTGGGCCAAAAGGAACACCGTGGGCACATCAAAGCCGTGGCAGCACGTCCCCCCCGTGCTGTTCTCGACGTTCCTCGGGCTCCTCGCGGTCGATGTGGCGCTCGCGGCGGTGTTCTGGCTCATCGCGGTCGTTTACGTGGCGCTCGTGGAGGTGTCCCAGGATGTAGGGGAGAACTTGCTGAGGTCCAAAAAAAGGCCAACATGAACACGGGGGAGGGGGAGGAGGAGGAGGAGGAGGAGGAGGAGGAGGAGGAGGAGGAGGAGGAGGAGGAGGAGGAGGAGGAGGAGGAGGAGGAGGATATGGTGCGAATGTGGGTGCAGTGTCTCCAGGGCCGAACCCCGTGAACGCACGCACGTGCGGGATCCACGTCCACTCTTTTTCCGACTGGCCCCCTTATTCGTTTGGCGATGCAGCAGTCTCCCCGCGGCTGCCTCCTGGGTGCCCCCGAGCTGATCCCGAGTGCCATCGCCGTTCCCACGCAACGCAATCCAATCTATTGTATCAGCATGCGCAGCCTCGGCCTCGGTCTCGTTTCGAGTCACGTTTGGCATTGTCTTAATTCGGGAACAGTTGTAATGTTCTCGAGTGTTCCCGAGCGCGCATTGGTTATCACAAGCAGCGTACGGCGGCGGACGCAGCCCTCCAGACCGCGCTCGCTTCAGCCGTGCAGGTGGCAAGGAGGAGAAGACGAGGACCAGGACAAACAGTAACAGGATCATCAAGAGGAGCAAAAAAAAGAAGACAACCGGGACGGGAAGATCACGTTCCTCCGCACGTGCACAAGAGCGCCCGGTTGTATGGTATGGTGGCTGCTGCTCTAAGCTGGCAAGCTGAGGTGCCGCATCTGTCAGTGCAACCGTTTTCGTTGTTGTTCTCCTCCTTCTCCTCCTCTTCCTGCCCTCGCGTTGCCTCATATAAGGGGCGAAGGGTAGCACTGGGCCGACAATCCCTGCTAGCGGCACGACCAGGCCCTGACTCCTGATCCGCCCTACTTTGGGCGATGTCGAAAGTAGGGCGGAAATTTCCGCCCTACTTTTGAGGCCCCTTTGAGCGTCGATTTCCGCCCTTGAGGCTCCTTTGGCGTCGATTTCCGACACAAATTTAGGTCGGAAAATCATCCAAAGTACGGCGGATCAGGAGCCACGGGGGGGGGGGGTCCAGAGCTCCGGGCGCCATTCCCTACGTTCGGCGCCGCCCCAACATGCTACTACTGCGTGTGCGTCGCCCCCCGAAGGGCGAGGGCGACGCGCGCGCGCCGAGAAAAATCTCGCAGGGTGTGCGCGCCGTGGCGGGCGCTGTCTGGCCCACGCCGCGCGGGGCGCGAGGCGCTGCAAGATGGGTATGTGCTTCGTGCTCGTGCCGGGCGCGCGCGCCTCCAAGGAGGACGTGCAGTACCCTGAACCCTAAACCCTAACCCCTAACCCCTAAACCCTAAACCCTAAACCCTTGGAGGCGCGCGTCCCATGCGATGCTGTATCTCTTCGGCGGCTTCGGGTCGCAGGGTGCGCCCTCCGCTCCCGCAGCGCGGCCGGGCCGCGGCTCCCATGGGCCCGAGGCCGCCCCCGTCGGCGGCGGCGGGCGGGAGGCGGGCGGAAGAGCGGCACCGTCCCGGGCGCTTTGCTCAGGGGGGGGGGGGGGCAAAAAAACCAGACACAGCTCAGCGTCGATGCCGAGGGAAACATGGGAAACTACAGGAGGTGGGGGGGGAACACGAGACGAAGCTCCGGAAAGTATGGGAAGAGATGGGGACGCTTGGGAACCGTGTCTATTGTGAAGGCCTTACGGCCGGTGCTGCCGACCCTGAAGACGACGACGCGACGACGACGACGACGACCACGACGACGACGGCGGCGACGACGACGACGACGGCAGTGACGGCGACGGCGACGGCGACGACGACGACGACGACGGCGACGACGACGACGACGACGCCAACAACGAGGACGAGGACGACGGCGACGGCGACGACGGGCACAACGCCGACGGGAGTAGCTTGGGGGCTTCTTGGGGGCCTGCTGGGGGCCTGTTGGGGGCCTGTTGGGGGGCTCCGGGGGGCCTCTTGGAGGCCTCTTCTGGGCCTCTTGGTTGCCTCTTGGGGCCTCTTGAGGTTCTCCTGAGCGCATCCTGGGGCCTCCCGAGGGCCTCCTGGGGGCCTCATGCGGGCCTCCTGCATGGGAAAGGCATGGGGACGCCTGGGACTCGTGACCATCTCTTTGTGTGTGTGTGAGTGTGTGTGTTTGTGTGTGTGTGTGTGTGTGTCTCGCTGGCCTTCTCCTTCTCGCTTCCCCCCTCGCTCGCCTCCGATCCCCCCTCGCTCGCCTCCGATCCGGGAAGAGTTCTCGGAGACGGCGGCGCGCCGGCCTGCGCCCTCGCGGGCGCCGGCGGCGGTCGGCGCCTGCGGGCGGGCGTGTGCCGCCGCCGCCACGCCCGCGTGCACACTTGGCTGCCTCCTCCTCCTCCTCCTCCTCCTCCTCCTCCTCCTCCTCCTCCTGCTGCCTCGATACGCCCGTTTTGACACACAGCACGTGCCGTGTTCAAGACGTCCGTGTCAATACGTTGCGTGTTGGCTCAGCGCATTGGCCGACGTTTTAGCGAGCGTATCGCGTCAGGCCTGCGTGTTCGGTCTGCGTGTTGGGCTCCGTATCAACACGCTGCGTGTTGCGTGTTGCGTATCGGGGCAGCTAAGCGTGCACACGAGCCGGTGGTGCCCCCCAGCGCCGACAAGTGACGTCTTGGCTGTCCGGCTGCTGGTTCCTCGAGGGCACTCTTCGTCGCTGCACGCCATGCAGCACGAGCCGCACGGGTCCTGCAGAGCTAACGGGCCTCCTGACACTGATGAGCTCTGGGACCTGGGACCCCTAGGATCGGCGCCCCCCAAACATACTTCTACTATATGTGCGTCGCCCCCCTGGGGGCGATGCGCGCACCGAGAAATCTTGTGGTATATGCGTCGTGGCGGGCGCGTTCTGGTCACACCGCTCGGGAAACGATAAGTTTTCGGAAAGAGTCTCGATGATTCTTAACGTTTCAATGTAAATCTTAAGATTTTAATAGAAATGTTGGGTTTTTTATTCAAGTTCTGAGACTATGAATTTCTGAACCCATGATTTCTTAAGCATTTCGCAGGGTGTACTACAAGATGGGTATGCCTTATGTTTGGGTCGGACGCGCGCCTCCAGGGAGAACATCTAGTGCCAGCATGTCTTTGCGCGTGCCCTGGGACCCCTCTGAGGCCGACAAAGCCCTGCGAGCACCACGGGCCCCAGGCCCCCTACGACCACTGGAGCCTGAGCCCTCTCGGACCCGTGAGCCCGCCCTGCGAGCCCAGTGGTGCGCGCGGCAGCCTTCGGCCCCATGCAGGGCGCGGCTCCCGTCCCGTGGGGCTGCTGGCTGTCGGTAGCCTGCGCGTCGCTGCGACCTGCTGGAGCAGGCTACGCACAAGTACGATGACGGTCAGCCTCGCCAGGCACCAGAGTACGAGTGCGGCTGCGGGGGAATCAGTCCGAATTGGAGTGAGTCTGAGTAGGAGTGATTCTAAGTATGATTGGGTCTGAGTGTGAGCTGGTGTCTGAGTCTGAGTCACTCTGACTGGGCGTACAGATCTTGCGGGTAGGAAGGAGGAAGGAGGAGGAAGGATGGAGGCGGAGGCATCACACTGATGGTAAGCTCCCCGCGCATGGGACATGGGGGGCAAAAAGGATGCTGACACCCGTCCACAGGCCAAGGCCGGCGTCGCTACTCGTCAGCGCGCTGCCCTGCTTGTCCACCTCCCCTTCTCTTCATCCGCACCCGCATCCCAGTCTTCCAAGAGTAGGTTTCGACTCGAGACTCGAGGCAGTGCCGCTAAGGAGCATCTTGCCCAGACCATCGTCCAGAAATCAGCACCGCGCTGCCCGAGTTCGCCTGTCACCTCTCCTGCGTGCACGCATGGCGACGATGCGACTCGCGCTGGGCCTTCTCGCCGCGGTGGCTCCCGCTCCGATTTCGGCGACGACGTGCCTCGAGAGTGGACACGTGCCCGGCGGAAATCTGAAGCTCCCTTTCCAGCGCAAGAACGTTGTCACCGAGGAAGGACAAGAGATGCCCTTGGGCGTCGTGCATGGCTGGTGGACTTCGAGCAAGCTGCTCAGCCACATCTTCAAGATCATCGCGGAGGAGGCAGTCGGCTACAACGTCACGATCGCAGCGAGTACGTTGGGCAACTCTGGTCAGTCGGTGTACGCCATCGGAGGTTGCGAAGATTTCGGCAGTGATTGTTGGCAGAGTCTGAAAGCGCAGGACCCTGATGGCAAGATCCTCTCGCGGAATCATTTTGCCTTTGAGATTTGGGAGAACTATTTCCGTCAACAGATGGACGTATGGACCAGCAACTATCCAGAGAAGGCGCCCGAGGAGATCGGCACGGTGGGCTATTACGGCGACGAGGGGGTCTTCATCAATCCGATCTCCAACAATGCTGGTCTCAGACAGGACAAGCTGATCCTCGACTGGTACCGCGGCTATAACACGTCTGAGTTCAGCGCCGAGGCATTGAGTAGACACTTCACAAAGCTTAGTGATCTAGGTCGTCTGCTGCCCAATTTCACCAATCATTCTTCCTACTTCTTCACGTGCGATGAGCTGAGGCTGACGGAGATGCCTTACCGCGTGAACCCGATCCTCAGGGACTACCACGTCCAGTTCCCCAACGACACGACGGTGAGCTACAACGAGAGCACGCAGACCGGAGAGTGGCAATGCGACTACGAGGGCATTTGGTGGTTGTCCCCTGCCTGCCGCGAGGATCCAGACACGTGCATCCCTGTCATCACGATGCAGTTCTGGGGGAGCGCCATCCTACACCAGGCAGCATACTTCCACATGCCCATCGCGCTCGCGAGCATTAGATCTTACGGAGACTGGACGAGCATCATCGCATCGCAGATTCCGCTGACGTACTGGTGGTACCCAGACGATCTGTTCATCAAGAGCGATCTCAAGATAATAGCTTTCCCGCCCTACAACAAGGAGCAGTACGAGATCCAGGGGCTCCAGGTCTCTCAGCTGCAGGCCATCCCGCTGCGGAAGCTGATGGCCCGGGGCTTTGGCAGCGTTGCTGGCGACGCCGCGCTCGTGGCCAAGGAGTTGTGGGTTCCCGAGAGCAACATTATTGCGATGATGAAGAGCACCACCGATGGCGCGACCGTCGAGGACATGGCCTGCGATTGGGTGCGTGCGAACACAGAGCTGTGGCACCAGTGGCTGCCAGGACAGCTCGTGTGCAATCCAGGTCAGGGTCTCGTAAACAAGGACGGCGAGTTCCTGTCGTCGAGTCTGAACGCGGATAGTTGCGGCTGGTGCGAGCCAGGGACCTACAGTGCCTTCTGGAACGGAACCGAGCAGACAATCTGCTCCTCCTGCCCGGCTGGCTCATTCCAGAAGTCTCCCGGTCAGACCGCATGCGAGCCGTGTTCGTCTGGAAAGTTCACAGACTCCCAGGGCAACACCGCGTGCACGGATTGTGCGGTGGCCACTTACGCCGAAGGCAGCGGCAACACGAATTGCACGAGTTGCCTTGCGCACGAGAGCACCATGGTCCGTGCCGCCGAGACCTCGTGGGACTGCGTTTGTGACGCGGGTTACTACCGTGCGGCGGGCCACTCGGAGTCGTCCGGCGCAAGGACCGACTGCAAGGCGTGCCCGGCGGGCATGGAATGTGAGAAGGGCAACGATGCGCCGATGGTCAGTGCCGGCTTCTGGGTCAGCGAACAGAATGGGATCGACAGGAGAGTGTTTTTTAACCCTCTGGGCCATGACTAGCGTTATGCTCCCTGCCTTCCCCCCCCTTCCCCCCCCCCCATAAGGTTACGCCCCCCCCCCTCAATGCGTCCCTTGCACTGCCGCAGTGCGTCTGGCACCACAGCCTGGGGGGGGGGGACGTTACGTTTTGCCCCCCCCCTGTCCCGCTCCCCCCCCCCTCCCCCCCATAACGCCCGTTGCGGTCGCGAATGATCAAAATGAACTCCAGGGAGTACTCCGTCTACCGGTGCCAGAACGACCTGGAGTGCCCGGGAGGAGAAGCCGGCACGTGCGCGGCCGGGCGCGATCCTTCTGTCATCGGCTGCGCCTCTTGCAGGCCCGCCTATCACAGGGCGTCGAAGGGCGAATGCACGAAGTGCGAAGGAAGCGCTTGGTTGCCCCTCCTCGGGGCCAGTTTCCTGGTCGTATGTGGGCTTTCTGCGGTGGCGTTCTTCGCAAGGGTGGACGTGACCAAGATCAGGATGAATACCGTCTCTGTTGCCATCTGCATGAGCCAGACGGTGATGATTGTCCAGACGATGTCTTTGTTTTTCACGATGAAGATCGACTGGGTCGAACCGATGAGGAGCATGCTGAGTACTTTCTCGATCGCGGCCTTCAATTACTCGGCGCTGAACCTCTCGTGTGGGGTCTCTGACTCGGACTCGGTGGCAAAATATGTTCTTCAGCTGCTGTCCTTCCCTCTGGGCTTGTCGCTGCTGTGCGCGATATTCGCCATCATGCACTTCGCGCTCGGGAAGCCCATCAGCAAGGACCACGTCATCAACTCCGTCGGCGTGCTCACCCTCGTGCTGTTCCTCATGCTCAACATGACCGCCCTGAAGCCGTTCCACTGCGTCAGCAGCCCCAACGGAACATCCTCACTGTCATCCAACCCTTCCATCATCTGCTACGTTGACTCTGAGTGGGTTGCCATGGCCGTCATGGGCACCATCGCTGTGCTCGTATACGGAGTCGGTTTCTTCTCGATCGTTCTGTACATTACCATCAGTTACCCCGCCCTGGCGCTATCTGCGCGCGGCTCGATCATCATGTCCAGGTACCGATTCATGTTCCAGCGTTTCACTGCCAAGTGCTTCTACTTCACCCCTATCTACCTGATGCGTACACTGTTCATCGCGCTGATCCCAGTGATCTTTGCCGACTACGGCCACCGACAGATGATCTTCCTGGTTCTCACGATGGTGGTGTTCGGTAAGATTCACGCGACGTATCAGCCTTGGAGGGGCGCGATCCCGAACATGTTGGACGTATGGGTGATGGGGTGCATGATCCTCCTGCTCACCTGCTCCTCGCTACTGATCAAGGTCGACGGGGACGAGATGGTGGCGGACCTCGAGGTCTTCTTCACCATCATCATGGTCTTCGTATTCGGCGCGGTCGGCATCTTTTTGGCCTTCCTTGCGTACCGCCGGTTTGTGCCGAAGGACCGGTGGACGGCGTTCCTGTGCCACATCCCAGACACCGCCATGACGGCCCGTTGGCTCAAGTTGGACATGCAAAAGAGGATCGGTGACAAGAAGGGTATCTTCTTGGCCGCGGACAACCTCGACTGGAACCTGGAGGACATCTTCGACTTGATGCGCTGCCAGCTGGCAGTCCTGGCCGCCCAAACGGGGCAGGAGCACTGCTGTCGGAGGGTCGCGCCGCATCGCTGCCTACGTCGCCGACGCATTGGCGATGGCGTGCGACCCCCTCACAGCTCGGGCGCTGAAGTAAGACCCGCTTGTCGCCCAGGAGGGGCTCGGGCTTCGGGCCGGTCCTTCCATGATATGTCGGGGGACCTGCCTGTGGCCCAGGCCCGCCGAGGCCGGGAAAAAGCCTGCTCGCCCTTCGGTGTGCGCTGCTTCTCTGGTGGTGCGGTGCCTGCACTCCGCCTCTGCCCTGGCCTCCTTCGGGCGCCACCGCCGCCCCCCAGGCAGACAACGTCGTGGTCCTCCTCTCGGGCGGCGCCCTCTCCAGCCCGCAGTGCGCCGGGCAGGTCACCACCGCCCACACGAACGGCGTGCGGCTTGTGCCGGTCGCCCTGGACTCCTACACCGAGCTGTGCGACGCCGACCTCGACGAGGCGGCCATCGCGACGCGCTGGTCCGCGGAGGCTCCGCGGAGCAGAACGCAGCGCGCCCGTGCCTCTCCCTCGCGCTCGCCCGCTTGGGCCGCCGGGGTGGGCCCTCGCCACCGCGGCCGGATTCGCCTTGGAGCCTTGGTCAGAACGTGGTATCCGCATCCAGATCCTCTTCCTCCTCCTCCCCCTCCTCCCCCTCCTCCTCCTCCTCCTCCTCCTCCTCCTCCTCCTCCTCCTCCTCCTCCTCCCTCCTCCTCCTCCTCCCCCTCCTCCTCCTCCTCCTCCTCCTCCCCTCCTCCTCCCCTCCTCCTCCTCCTCCTCCTCCTCCTCCTCCTCCTCCTCTCCTCCTCCCTCCTCCCCCCTCCTCCTCCTCCTCCTCCTCCTCTCCTCCTCCTCCTCCTGTCTGTTCACCTTTGAGGCGTTCCGGCGCTGCACCGCCGAGGGCATCTCGCTGGCCATGGTGAAGGACGCCTACTCCTACCTGCGCGGCGCCTCCAAGATCTCCTGCCGTGTGGTGGCGAACCGCTTGGCCAGCAGCCACGGTGCTAGGGGAACAAAAAGTGGCATAAACATGAAAACTCGGAGGTCCGCGCGGATTTCTCGGAACGGCGCTCGACCCCCCTCCCTGGCGCGCGGAGCGCGCCAGGGGCGGCACCGGAGGCGCCGCCAGGGGGCCCGAGCGCCGATCCGAGAAATCCGCGCGGACCTCCGAGTTTTTATGTTTATGGCATTTTTCGTTTCCCAAGGTGCATCCCTGCAGGCCATAGCCATGGTGTCCAGCACCTGTGGAGCAGGCAAGGCGGCGGACGGCCCCGAGGACGACGACGGGGAGTACGACGTGGGCGTCGTGGCGGACGTCTGCGACTCGGAGGCCATTGCGGCGGCGGAGGTGCTGAAGAGCATGGTCGGCGCGATCAAGGGCTGGAAGCTCAAGGGTTTGATGCAGGACTCCGAGGTGCGCCAGGCTCGAGCGCCCTCCCAGCTGCTGGTGGTCGTCCTCACCCGCGGGTGCCTGGGCTCCGAGTCCTTCGTGCAGACCGCGGCCGCGGCGCTGCGAGCCTGGCCGTCGGCGCCGATGCTCGCCGCGAGGGCCGAGGACTTCAGCTTCCCCACGGTGGACACGATGCAGAAAGTGCTGACCCCGCAGATCGCCAGGGGCGCCGAGATCCCAGAGGCCCACGTGTCGTCGAGCTACGCTGCGCTGCTCGCCAGCCCCAGTGTCTCCTTCGTCGCGAACGCTCGCACGTCGTCCCTCGAGAAGCAGGTCGGCTACCTCGTCGAATGTGCTGCGGAGGTCGTAACGGGCGTGAGGGGTCCGTCGATCACCAGCTGCGCCGAAGAGGTCGTCAAGGACGTGGAGGTGGCGCCCCCCGTTGAGCCCCCCGAGTCGAATGGTCAGGAAAACACAGCGGTGAGTAATGTGTAATACGCTTCGTGAGTTCAGCCTGGTCTCTCTCTCTCTCTCTCTTTTCTACCTCTCTCTCTCTCGGTCAATATGTTTTGGCATCGACTGGTTCATCTCTACGGATAGGCATGTCGGCGCAATCCCGTATTATTAGAAGCTGCTGATACGGACTGCACCAACCAGAAGCCCCTCTGCTGTACTATGTACGGCTTCTAAGGGCCTTTGCCAGACGATGTCTAGCCTCGCAGATCTCGTCCCGGTGAGTCCATGGTTCGAACATGAGCCCAGTGTCTCCAAGGCTGGTGGAGGATCCACGTCTTTTTTCTCCCACGGTTCCCCTTTTTAGGCGATGCAGCATTTTCCCCGCGGCTGCTGCCTGGGTGTTCCCGAATGTCATCTCCGTTCCCATGCAGAATATAGGCTTTTTTCAGTTCATAAGCACAAAATCCTTTACCGTCTGTACATATGCAAAGGACACATAGCGTATGAGCCCAACTCGAGCATAGTGGGAGTGCTCCCGAATGCTCCCAAATGATGCCGGGCGCGTCTGAGTTACGACAAGGCAGCGAACGCAACGTCCGAGGTTGCCCTCCAGACCGCGCTCACTTCCGCCCGTGCAAAGGACAATCAGGAGAAGAGGAGGACGAGGAGTAGCAGTAGCAGGATGATGCTGATGATGATGAGGAGGAAGAGGCGGAGGAGGAGGAGGAGGAGGAGGAGGAGGAGCAACAGAGGAACACAATAGGGAAGGGAAGATACCGCTTCCCCGCACGCGCACAAGTGTACCCTGTCGTACAGCACGGCGACTGCTGCTCTGAGCTAACAAGCTGCGGGGCCACATGTAGCAGTGTGCTCGTTTTCAGTGTTGCCGTTCTCCTCCTGTTCCTCTTCCTTCCTTTCCTCAAAACTGATATCCCTTAACGCCCTTCCCTGCGAACCCTTCCCTGTCCTCACTTTTTTGGGGGAGGGGGGGCGGCTCTTTGGAGGGTCTCTTGGGGGCCCGAATGCTTCTTTGGGGTCATTGTGGAGCCTCTGGAGGTCTCCTGGGAGTCTTTGGGGGGCCTAGAGGGGGCTTCTTGGGCCCATCTTGATGCCAGCCACGATGTTCGTCAACGACCAGTTCACGATTAAGAGTGCTCCGGGGGCCGTATCGGGGCCATTTTCGACCGCCTTGAGGTTTTTGTTTCAAGAGTCTTGGGGCCCTGTGTGGGTTTTCTTCGAATGCTCTAGGCTGTCTTCAGGCAAATTTGGCGGCGATACTCGTTGGAGGTCCTTCTCCGCATGTCCCGTCGGTGCCGTCCGATCCTCTGGGGAGGCCTCGGCATTCGTACACCGTGCTATTTATCTGGTTCTGTTGTCCTTCCCACTCGCTCACCAGGCCAACCAGTGCCGTCTGACGCTCCAGGGTGGCCCCACCAGACCGCTGCAGGCACCCTCATTCCGTGTTACTCATCAAGTGTCGTGCCTCTCTCACTCCACCAGTCCCACCAGTGTTGCCCGACCCTCCAGGAGCCCTCGCCAGACTGCGGCAAGCAGCCGCATACCATGTTGCTAAGCAGGTTTCGTGCCCGTCCCGTTCCACCAATGCCACCAAGGTCGCCTGACCCTCCAGGGAGGCCCCGCCAGACCGCGGCAAGCATCCGCGTATGTACCGTGTGATGCGTCGGGTTTCATCTTCTCCCCATACCACCAGCCTCACCAGTGCTTTTTGACCTTCCAGGGAGGCCCCGCCAGGCCGCGGCAGGCATTGGAGATGATGTATGGCTTGTCACTAATTACTTGCTTCCCTGGTCGCCGCAGAAGCAGGGCAGCCCGTGTGCCCCAAACATCACAGATTGCTGAAGCAACGCCCCAAGAGCGCGCCAAGAACGGCCCAAGACTGCCTCAACAACGGCCCCTGGAGGGGCTCAATACGGCCCATTACGGCCCCAAGCGTCCGAAAGTGGACCCAGCACGGCCCCGAGCAACCCCTAAGAGAGCTCCAAGAGGGGCTTGCGAACCACTTACTTCCCTAGGACTTGCAGGTGAACTCCGCCTTCGGACGGCTAAGCGCTTTAGTTTTGGAACGGGTCGCTCCTTATTCTGCCTACTCTTCCCTCCTCTCCCCTCCTTCGATCTACTCCCCGCATGCTCCTCGCTCAGACTGCTGAACTTCAGCAGAGGAGATTTGGCAGCACGCCAGTCGGTTTGTCGCTCGCGCCCGTGAGTGCGAGACTGAGCTGACTTACTTGCATGTGACGTCCGCCAGCGGTCGGCTCTGCAAGTTCCCTATTTATTCAGGAGCTAGTCGCTATTCGTCCTCACCTCCTTTCTCTTGATACTACACATTGCCCTCACCTCTGATTGTTCAGCAGCGGAGACTCCTCGGCAGGTCACTCGGTACGTCACCTGGGCACAGGCGCGGTGTCAGATTGCTGGGCCGACGTGCAGGTGAGCTCCGCTTGCGGACACAATACGGTTTTTGTTGGCCAGCACTTTTATAGACCTCTTGCTGGCCAGCACTTTTGCAGCACCTGGAGGGTGCAGATTTTGCACAGGGAGCCTCTCGGGGCCTCCCAGGCCGAGCTCGCCACCGGCGATTTCAGCCCCAGCGATTGGGCTCGAGCGGCACGCTCGCCCCCTTTGAGCTAGCCGAGTGCTGGACTGCATTCTCCGACTGGCCAGCACTTTTATATCGTTTTTGTTGGCCAGCATTTTTATAGCTTCCGGAGTGGGCAGTCGATATCTCGTCCTCACATTTGATCCCCCAACAGGGGAGATCTGTCAGACCGTCCGTCGGTGTGCCATTTGCGCCCGGGAGTGACAGGCTGAAAGGCTTAGTTCTATGCACCGTGCGCCAGCGGTCAGCTCTGCAAGTTCCCCATTTCTCATCAGCATCATCATCATCATCATCATCATCATCATCAGCATCATCAGCATCATCACCATCATCACCAACACCATCATCATCATCATCATCATCATCATCATCATCATCATCATCATCATCATCATCATCATCATCATCATCATCATCATCATCATCATCACCGTCATCACCAGCATCAATATCACCAACATCATCACCATCACCACCATCGTCATCATCATCATCATCACCATCATCAGCAGCATCAATATCACCAACATCATCACCATCATCATCATCATCATCATCATCATCATCATCATCATCATCATCATCATCATCATCATCATCATCATCATTGAGGAGCTGGTTGCTCTTCGTCTTCCTTCTCTGGTCTATACTACACTTTCCCTCACCTCTAGGTGTTCAGCGGCGGAGGTTCCTCGGCGGGTCACTCGATACGCCACTCGCTCACAGGCGTGTCAGATTGCTGGGCCGACGTGCAGGTGAGCTCCGCCTGCGGACATAATACGGTTTTTGTTGGCCAGCACTTTTATAGACCTCTTGCTGGCCAGCACTTTTGCAGCACCCGGAGGGGGCAGATTTTGCACAGGGAGCCTCTCGGGGCCTCCCGGGCCGGGCTCGCCACCGGCGATTGGGCTCGCGCTGCACGCTCGCCTCCATCGAAAGAGCCGAGTGATGGGTTGCATTCTCCGATTGAGAGAAATGCCTCCAGGCGACCACCCCCCCCCGCGGACAGCCCGCCACGGCCCCAAGGGAGCTCCAAGAAGGTCCGCCACTCCGCTCGACCAGCCCAAGCCCAAGGACCGCTCCGACGAGCCTGTCCGAGAGCGAGAGAGAGAGAGGGTTCGGTGGAGGTGCCGCGCCCGAGACGGCTCCCCGGTCGCCCAACGGCGATCAACAGGCCTCCCCAAGACTCCAAGAGACGTCCCCGAGACCAGGGTTGCGGGGCCCCGCTGGGGCTCTCTCGCAATCACCCCGAGCCGCCCTCGTCGGGCACGTTGGGAGCTCCCGGAGCGTTGTGTCGCTGCTCTGCGGGGTCGCTCGTGGCACACACACCCGCGGCATGCGGGCGTCAGCCCCCGACTCAGGCCCAGGGGATCGCTTGAGGACGCGACGCTGCAGAGGGAGGGAGAGGGATGAAGAGGAGGAGGGATGAAGAGGAGGAGGAGGGATGAAGAGGAGGAGGAGGAGGAGGAGGAGGAGGAGGAGGAAGGAGCAAGAGCCAGCGGCGCCGACGGGTTTGCCCGAGGGGCGCCCTGCGCACAAGCGGCACAAGCGCCCTGCCCACCAGCCCCTGGGAACGATTTGAGGGCGCCCCCTCCACACCTCCTCTTTCCTCCTCCTCCTCCTCCTCCTCCTCCTCCTCCTCCTCCTCCTCCTCCTCCCCCTCCGACTCCTCCTCCCCTCCTCCTCCTCCTCCTCCTCCTCCTCCTCCTCCTCCTCCTCCTCGTCCTCGTCCTCCTCCTCCTCTCCTCCCCCCCAGTCCCCTCTTCCTCCTCCTCCCCCTCCTCCTCCTCCTCCTCCTCCTCCTCAACGCGCCCAGAGTCCAGCAAGGCATGAGGGTGCAAACCCGACTTGTCTGGCTGATGCCCTGGGGGGGCCTGTGCTCAGGGGAGGCTGCAGCACCGCTCAACGATGTGCTGTTTAACCGAACCTGCAGGGTGGGCCCTTTCCCAAATCCGTGCTTCGGTGCGGATCGTAAGCGCGCCTCGTCTCCGTCGTCGTCGTCGTCGGCGTCGTCGTGGTCGTGGTGCGTGTTGCTCTGCTCGGGATTCTGTTTCCCTTATGCAGTGACCACCCACTTGGCTTGCCAGGCATTGCACGCCGCCTGGCTGTCCGTCCGTCCGTCTGTCTGTCTGTCTTCCCGGCTCTCTGAGCCGCGGCGCTTTGAGCTTCTTAGCTCGGGGACGCGTCGGCCACCGCCGCCCTCTCCCTTGTCGGTGGCCCTGACGAGGTTGGGGGAGAGGGTGCCGAAACGCGCCCAGAGTCCAGCAAGGCATGAGGGTGCAAACCCGACTTGTCTGGCTGATGCTCTGGGGGGGCCTGTGCTCAGGGGAGGCTGCAGCACCGCTCAACGATGTGCTGTTTAACCGAACCTGCAGGGTGGGCCCTTTCCCAAATCCGTGCTTCGGTGCGGATCGTAAGCGCG